AACACTGTCACTTTTGGTGTCTTTCAACGGGATCTTCTTTCTTTTTTTTTTTCAACATCCAAAACTTTTTTAACTATAAGATCCAAGGTTAGTTTTTGTAGCCTCGGCTGGCCCTTTGGCCCCTGGCACGCTCGAATTTCCGGCCCTTGGAATGGACATAGGGTTTGGTGTGGCTGTGTGGGGTTCCTGGGGCCTTGCCAAAATGTCGGTACACCTCTCGGCCCTTCCGAGGACCAGACAGGAGCACAGTGCCTTGGGAGACTCCAGAGCCATCTGGTCAAAGGTGAGGATCTTACCCCCAGCCTTGAGGATGTGACTTCGGCCCGGCTGCTCACCCGCAGTGCACACACCTTCCGCTTGGGCACTTCCAGAATCCGCACGTCATCTGTGACTGTCCCCACAACCACAGCGGTCTTGTTCTCCCGGCCAGGAAGCTTCATCTTTCGGATCATCCGGGACAGGGACAGAGGTGGCCGGTTAGTGCGGCTCATAAATAACCTCTTCAGCACAACCTGATTGAAGGTGGAGTTGGTACGTCTGGCCAGAAACCTGTACAGCTTGACTAGCAGCCGGAAGTAGATATCCTGGCTCTTGGGCTCCTTGCGCGGAACCTTTCGGTCCTTGTTGTGGTGAATATCAACACCCACGATGGCGTCTCTTGCTCAGCCAGGTCCAGAAAGACCGGGATCTTCTTTCTTTACAAAATGCTCAATTCTTGGCCCATTCGAAGCAATGAGTTTAGCAATCCCCTAGGTAATCCCCAGCACCCTTATTAAATATTGATTTAATAGACCTCAAACTGTATTTAGCCATTTAAAAAAAATGAATGAAAATAATTGGCATGACTTTAGACATAGTCAAAATAAAGTCGTGCCCCTTCACGGACACAGGCACATGAATCTTTAAGGAGCACTACACTATTCAACCATATTTAAGAATATTTCAAACAGCTGGTTGTGGTGGCGCAGGCCGGTAGGATTTGCTGAAGGAGGCAGAGGCAGGAGGATCACAAGTCTGAGGCCAGGCTGGGCTACACATTTTGGGGGGAGTGGGGAGGGGAACATGGAGGCGGATGTTCGAATGTCTCCGCCAGTCAAAGATAGTTGGTATATCTAGGTTGGGATTGGGTTACACTTCTGATTGTATGGGCATCTTGTTATTGAGCATTACCAAACTTATAAAGCCTTCGATTAATGTTTTTTAAAAAGTTACTAATAAAAAAAAATATTTCAAACAGATTATCCAGCATGTTAGGAAGGGAGACAATTCCCCGGCATAAAAGGTTAATTTAACTTAAGTCACTCAGTTACCTGACATTAGTAGAATCAAGGTGAAAACCAATGGCCACACAGATAAGCGCAAGAAAAAGCACTGACAAAAGTTAGGCATAATCTCTTGACCAATCCTATCAGGAAAAAATATGTACAGATAAAAAATTTCCAATATTTTGTGGGTGCATACATATTTAAAAACTTCAGCTAACATCAAAATCAGTAGTCAAGAGACACCATCTTTTCTTCAATGATCCCACATAAGACAGGAATGGCCACTCTCTGAAGTACTAGATTATTAGCTATTTCCAGATGAAATTATCCCAAAGACTCACTCTCTCCCCAATTTAACTCAGTGAAGGTTCAAGACATAGAAATCAGCATTTAAACTTGTAAGATTCAGGGTCTGGTAAGCAAGCTCAGAGGGAGAGACTTAGTAATGACCATGCAGAAGACCCAAGTTTGGTTTGCAGACTTCATCTCAAGTGGCTCACAACCACTTACAACTCCACCTCAATGGGAATCCAGTGTCTCTAGTCTGTGTACCTTCACTCACATGCACATGCCCACATACAGGCACATACACACAATTAAAGATAAAGAACTATTTAAACATGTGAAAATTCAACTGCACTTCTTTACAGAAATTGTAATCTGTCTGGATAAGAAATCAGGGAAATCATCTTATTTATAACTACACCAGGAAAAATAACAGGAATAAATTAAACCAAGAAAATGACAAGGGCTGGATGAAAATTTAAAACATTGATAAAGGAAATCAAAGAGAATATTAAGGAATTGTACAGCATTCTTTGTTCATAAATTGAAATAATATATAGTGTCCAAATTCCCACAGTTCAGAAAAGCAATCTACAGCCACAATGCAGTACCAATCAAAATGCCAATGGCATCATCCATGAAGTGAAATTTGTTCAAAGTGAGGAGAGAAATGGGCCCATTATATCTGGAGATCAAGGAGAATATTGTCTGTGGCATACCTGGAGCCTGACATGCAAGAGTCTGAGGAGATGTCAGAGGGAACATGGTTTAGCAAATCCTTCTAGAAGGCTTGCCTATGCCGCTAGGTTCCATAGAGCAAGAGAGAAGTTGTAGGGTTAGCCAGGGTGCAGACAGATGTATGCATGACTGCCACAGGGATGTAAAGTCCTAGAGAGCTATTTATCAAATTTTGCCATATATAATGTATATTATAATATATATATTAGATATACGTGTTCTGTGTATCTCCATCCCATCTTCTGACCTACAAAACAGACTTAAAGTTTTGATAACATTACATTGTCTGAAACATCCTATTATTACAACCAATTAAATGAGCTCTAGAAACTAGGAGAGCTTCAGAACTATGACGGGTACGTACCTCGTGAACCTCAATGTGTCTGTCTAGCGTCACATCTAACTAGCTTTGGAGAACAGCCTTTAAAAATATCACACAGTATAAAAGCCGAGTCCCCTTAAAACATGCAAAGTCTCTGACATGTTCCAAGCGTCTCTAAAACAAAGTCGGTCTTAAATTCCAAAGTCTGAAAAATTATCCAGCCTCTCAACTGAGAGTTCCTGTAAAAATCAAAAACAAATTGAGTATTTTCTGATACCTAGAGACTAAAGAATCAAGACACGGTCACTCAAATCAGAGCAAACCCTAAATCCAGCAGTGTAAAATAACAATGTTTGATGTCTGGGACTGACAATCTTCCGGGCTCCAAAGAGCCAGGCCTTTCCCTGACTCTACCATACACAGCAAAGCCTACTTGTCTTGTAATCTCTGGGTGGTTCCTGTTCCCCTGTTGCTTAGTGCCATGGTACTGGCATCCATGAAATGCAAGAGCCTGTACTGCCACTGCCTGAACACTCGCCAATAGCCTCTCTTGGCTCTCTTCAGAGACCTAGGCACTACCACATAGTGCCAAGACTCCATTTTTATGACCCCCTTCAAGCCTGGGGTTTCTAGTACAACTGGGGCTGCAGTTTCACCAATCGCCTCTCCCAACCCCTCAGAATGCCAAGGCTCAGCTACTCTCCAGATCCCCTTCATTCCTTGAAAACCAGTACCATCCAAAAGATTCAGTTGCCAATACAAGGTACCTGTACTGCACTTCCTCCATACATGTTTCCCTGAAACTCATGATCTATGAAGCTTAGTCTTTACCTGTACAAACTGATTCAGTGAACTTATTGACTATTAAGATGTACCTTATCAAACAGATGAGAACAAGTTCAAAAAAATGACTTAAATTGTGTTGAAAATATATATAATGATACAAGACAATGTATATGCATATAGAAATCCTGGGATTAAAATTTCAAAGTAATTTCTGAAAACCATTAAACAGCATCAAGATATTCTTAAAAGCACATAGCTGGCCAAATAACATTTTGTGGACTTCGACAATATATTAGGTGATGTATGATTTCTCATATGAGAGTCAGCATCAAGAGACATAAAGCTAGTATCCATGCCACTTTGTAGAAATTTCCATATAGTCAAGTGTGTGTGTGTGTGTGTGTGTGTGTGTGTGGTTTGTATCTGTCTTTTTCAGGAAATGATATGGTTAACAGTTTCCTACGGAGTGTCAACTATTTAAACTTTTTACTTCAACAATTACTCTTCTTACAACCTTCAACTCAACTAGCCAGTTTCTACCACCCATCACTGATAAGCCAAGTAACACCCAAATTAAGAGTGAAAGGCAAAAATCAAAAACTAAATAATAAAAAACAGATTTATTCAATGTAACCACACTGGGAAAAAGAGATACAATAACTTGCCAGTCCATTTTCAGAATCCTAACACATGAGGGTATTATATAAATATAATATATTTACAAGTAATACATATATATAATAAATATAAAAATAAATATAATAAAATACAATAAATAGAAGGCAAAAGGGACACACAACTAAGCAGCCCAACCAAGGTGTGGTCTACTGCCCACCACAGTCACAGCTGCACGTCTCTCCTTCAAGATTAGCCTTTCTAGCTATTACATAAACTAAGTCTTTCTTTCTCCAAAAGGCACGGCCCTCCTATGGATACCCCAGGGCTTTTTCTTCTCCCAGCAGGATCTTAGAGAAATTCTAATTTCTTGAGGGCCACTGTAGCAATAGCTTGAAAGGAGAGTGTTTCTATGAGAATATAGCAATTCCTGACAGCCAGGCCAGGTGCAGTTACAAGCATGTACGTACACAATGGTGCTTCAAATGTTCTCTTAATTCCTAACGTTTATTTCATTGTAAAAGTAGGATATTTCAATGTAGTAAATATCAAAATTTGAGTGGGTTTTACAGGTCAAAGGGTGGTGTGTGTGTGTGTGTGTATTATATATATTATATATATAATAGCCATAATGTCTACATAGCAAGTAGCCATGCCACCATTTTCAAATATGTATATACGCATTTAATAAAAACTGATAAATAGTAATACAGTTCAAGATTCAGAAAGCTAAGACATAATTACCCACCTAAAACTACTTAATTCCTAGTTACCACAAGAAGGGGATGCACAAATATGTAACATATTGGAATTACATCCTCCAAATACTTTGAAAGACACTGGCATTTGGGATACAATGATCATTTATTCAAATAATTCTCAGCAGTATATATCTAAAACCTGACATCTACCTCCTTTAGGAAGGTGGAATATTTTAATGTTTATGATAAAATAATGTTACACAATAAAAACATATACACTACATTATGAACCATTCAAATTTGTTTATTTAAAAACATAAGTTTCACACACAGCCTCTATTTTATATCTACTCTATTGCCTCTGAGGAAAAAGAACTATACTAAAATCAATTAGGAACTGGTCTTGTTCTTTTGACACACTCTGAGAATTGTGCTAACTTGTTTTCAAACATGAATATGTAAATTTACATAGTAACTAAGGTTTTATCAATAAGTTGATATCATTACTGAGTTTGTATGATTCTGATGTCTATGATGATTTATTTCTATCATATCTAATAATGTTCCCTAACTGATAAGCAATATTTACTTCATTTTTTTAGGAGATTTGTCACCTCTGGTAACTCTCATACCCATTAAGATCTGAGGTATAAGCTTTACTAGATTCCATGTTTGAATATACATAATGTCTTCCAGAATAATTACTCTGCTCACACATACTGAACAAAGTTCCTTCCGAAGTCAGAAAATGGAGAAGATTCCTATGAAGCATGAGTTCACGGATGAGGGGCGAGCAGTCAGTAAAGGCCTTGGCATATTACTGACATGTGCAGGCTTCCTCAGTACAAATTCTCTATCAATAAGACATGAAGAAGAGTTAAGAGAGGTGCAACACTATTTGAACTTGTAGGCTTTCTTTCATGCATGATTTTTTACATTGTATATGTACAGAACACTTATTAATTAGTCACCTTTTTTCATCCCCACAGTTTCTCACTAGTACAGTTTTTTGAGCTAAGCATTACCTAAGTAATAACTAAAGGCCTTGCCAAATTCCTTGAATTTCTAGGGTTTCAATTCCAATATGAATCCGTTGATGTCGAATAAGGCTTGAGCTATTATTAAAAGCTTTACTACATTCTTTGCATGCATAGGGTTTCTCTCCAGTGTGAATTCTTTGATGTTTAATTAGGGCTGAATGATTATTAAATGCTTTGTCACATTCCTTGCATTTATAAGGTTTTTCTCCAGTATGAATTCTCTGGTGTTGAATGAATGTTGAATAAATGCTAAAAGCTTTGCCACACTCTTCACACGTGTACGGTTTCTCACCGGTATGGATTCTCTGATGCTTCCTCAGGTATGAAGAACAGATAAATGCCTGGCCACACTCTTCACATTTGTAGGGTTTTTCCCCAGTATGGATTCTTTGGTGTAGAATAAGACATGAAGATTTAGCAAAGGCTTTCCCACATTCTTTGCATGTGTAGGGTTTCTCTCCAGTATGAAGCCTCTGATGATACTTAAAATATGAGGAACACCTAAAGGCCTTGCCACATTCTTTGCATTTGTATGGTTTCTCTCCAGTGTGAATTCTTTGGTGTACAAGAAGGCTTGAAGAATTAACAAAGGCCTTGCCACATTCTTTGCACGTGTAGGGCTTCTCTCCAGTGTGAAATCTCTGGTGATTCCTGAGGTATGAAGACGATCTAAAGGTTTTGTCACATTCTCTGCATGTGTAGGATTTCCCCCCAGTATGAAATCTCTGATGATACTTAAGGTACGAAGAACAGCTAAAGGCTTTGCCACATTCTTTGCATTCATATAGTTTCTCAATAGCATGAATCTTCTGATGCTTATGTAGGTACGAAGAACAGATGAACGTCTGGCCACACTCCTCACACTTATATGGTTTCTCTCCACTGTGAATTCTCCCATGCTGGTTAAGGTGAGACGAACAGTTAAAGGCTTTGCCACACTCTTTGCATTTGTAGGGTTTCTCTCCAGTGTGAATTCTCTGGTGTTGAGAAAGTGATGAGCGAAAAATAAAAGCCTTGCCACAATCTGCACACTTATAAGGTTTTTCTCCACTGTGAATTTTTTGGTGCCGAGAAAGGGCTGAGCAATTATAAAAGGCCTTGCCACACTCTTCACATTTATAGGGCTTCTCTCCACTGTGAATTCTTTGGTGTTGAGTAAGAGCTGAACAGTTATTAAAGGCTTTGCCACATTCCTCACATATGTAACGTTTTTCCCCAGTGTGGATTCTACGGTGTTGGTTAAGACTGGAAGAACAGTTAAAGGCTTTGCTACACTCTTTACATTTGTAGGGTTTCTTTCCAGTGTGAATAATTCGGTGTTGTTTAAGATGTGACGAACAGTTAAAGGCCTTGCCACATTCTTCACATTTGTAGGGTTTTTCTCCAGTGTGGATTCTCTGGTGCTGAGAAAGTGATGTGGGAAAATTGAAGGTCTTGCCGCACTCTGCACACTTGTAGGGCCTTTCCCCAGTATGGATTCTTTGGTGTCGTGTACGGGCTGAGCAATTGTTAAAGGCTTTGCCACATTCTTCACACTTGTATGGTCTCTCTCCTGTATGAATTCTTTGGTGCTGAGTAAGAGCTGAAGAATTGTTAAAGGCTTTGCCACATTCACATTTGTAGGGTTTCTCCCCAGTGTGAATTCTATGGTGTTGGTTAAGGCTTGAAGAACATGTAAAAGCTTTCCCACATTCTTTACATTTGTAGGGTTTTTCTCCAGTGTGAGTTCTGTGGTGTTTGTACAGTGTTGATCGAACATTAAAGGACTTGCCACACTCATCACACTTGTAAAGTTTTGCTCCAGGATGAATTTTATGGTGCTGAATAAGAAGTGAGTTCCAAGGAAAGGTCTTGCCACATTCTTTAAATTTATAAGGTTTTATTCCTGTTGAGTAAAGGTGGACAGATCAGTAAAAGATTAACCATATAGCTATAATTATAAAGCTTATCTTTCATACAGATACTTATACCCCAAGATACAGTTCTGATACAGTTCTAAATGCAATTTACTCTTATGTTAATGGGAAAACAGACTTGGTTCCATAACTATTCATTGCAGCACTAGTCAAAAAATAGATAATAAATGAAATAACATAAACTTCCACTGACAACAGTGGAACATTACTCAAAATTTTAAAAGTAATTACTTTAAAACCAGGAAAATGGCTCAGATGATAAAGGTGTCTGATTCCCAGGGACCCACATGGTGGAAGGAGCAAACTGAATCCTATAAGTTGTCTTCTGACTACATGTATGAACCAGAAACCCTTAGTAGACACACACACACACATATATACACACATACACACACACATACAAACACAGAGACACATACACACCCATACACACCCATACACACCCATACACACCCATACACAC